CTGTCTCCCCTTCAAGGTCAGGTCCAAGGGAGATGTTTCCTCACACTGGGGCAGAGGTGAATCTCCTCCTCCCCCTCCTCCCCTCCCTGCTGTTGAGTTTGCAGCCTGCCTATGTCCCTTTGTCCCTCTCATCACAGGAGACACAGCCCCACTGCATGCTGGGTCAGTCTCGCTGCTGGTGAAGGGGCCCTTACTGTGTGATGTTTATCTGATCTATATTTGTCTCCTAACAGGAAAGCGACAGCAGGCTGGAAGGAAATGGGTATCAGTGTGGATGGAATGCTGGGCTGTTGCTCCACTTTGGAAGGTGGGTTTTGCTGGCCTGTCCTGGGGCACAGTGGGCACATGACTTAGGCAGCAGTCTTGGAACTACATTTTATTCTGATCCCGTATCACAGGTCAGACCTAGACAGAGCCTTGTTGGCCATAGAATTGGGGCATTCAGCCAGGCTGTCTGCTCGGGCATCCTCCTGTGAAAGTTGTCTTTGGTGGTGCTGTGGAGGACCTCCAGGCAGATCACTACTTTCAGCCATTAAGAATGGACACTCAGAGACTTCAGTGGTGGTACACGCCTTTAATCCCAGGACTCAGGAGGCAGAGCCAGGCAGATCTCTGTGAGATAGAGGCCAGCCTGGTCTACAAAGCGAGATTCAGCACAGGCACCAAAACTACATAGAGAAACCCTGTCTCGGGGGGTGAGGGGTGGACACTCAGAAGGGACTGAATGCCAGGGATCATCGGCAGGTCTCACATGGCTAAGAGCAGCACTGAGACCACTAAGTTTGGTCCTGTTGTAGGAGAGAACTTTCTGAGATCTGGTCTAGCCTTGACACTGGTCTATAGACAAATAAGCATGAGGCTGCCAAAGCTGGCATTTTTCAATTCCAGGTAAAGTGGTCATGATGCAGAGGACCTAAGGTATAGGGAGAGATAACAAATGCATGTATTCAGAGGGATCTTGGGATAACTTGGGGCAAGTAGAACATCCCTTCCCTGTGATGCTCTGTCCCCAAACCATTATGGAGGAGCAGTCTGTGGAGAAGAGGGTAAATATCTTCTTAAACCTATATAGGAAGACTAGCTTCTCCCACTGGCCAGCTACTTAGACTGTAATGGGCTGAAGAACCATGAGCACAAGGGTGCACACAGCCTTGCAAGGAAAACCAGTCCAGAAACACTGAGCTTGTTGCTTATGTGGCCACAGCTGTTCTGCATCAGTGGGATGTTTCAGTCCTTATGTACTTCACTGAAGCTAAGGCCTGGGAAGGGAGACTTGGGTGCTGGAGGCAGGCTAGTGAATCCCAGGACTACAGCCCAAGAGAATAACTGTGGCTCCAGACCAAGGTGATATCTCTAAGGAGGCAAATCTCAGTATGAACAGGTGTGAAGTTTATTTCTTCTTGTGCTGAGAATTGCATTGGATCTGATGGGGATTTTGTGTGTCCCTGCTACTTAGGGAGGCATGTTGCTACCTTTAGCCTTTTACCTGAGAGAAGACAAGTCAGCTGAGGACCAGGCCCCCATATATATCACCTCCCCACTTCACTGCCTATCTGCTGGATGGAGCAGGAGCAGATGCAATCAGTATCAGCTACTTGTAGCAGGACCTTCACACACATCATCCCAAAGCTGTGCTCGGGTTTCCACCTCACAGTGGACAAATCTGAGTCCTTGAGATGCTTTTTGGGACATAGCATGTTTATTGAAACACTGCTTAAATTCCACCCAGTGGGCCACTGACCCAGCCACAATGACCAGTTTTGTCCACCTGGGTGACTTGGGGGCTCATGGTCACCCCTGGATTTCTCATTTGCCATGCTTTCTCTCCTACCATCTGCAGGTTCTTTGGACATGGTCTCTCATGGAAGCCTATTTTCACCAAGTATGTATCCTGTCTGGTGTAGACAAGTGTAAGTGAGATGGGGTGCAGGAAATAGAGTGCCTGTGTTTAGACATGATGCTGGAGAACTGCTTTTCCTTCTTTGTTCCTAGAGCCGGACTCCTGAAAGTAGCAGGGCAGCCATGAGAAATCATTCCCTGCAGTCAGAGGTCCCTAAAGGGACCCTAATGATGTTGGCCTAGGGAAAGTCATTTTGGAAGATAATAGACACTACTATACCTGCCTCATTAGTCCCTGAATGCCACT